CATCATCACTAATAATGACTTGGCCGAGGCACTTAAAATGACCATCCTTCTAAAGCGCTTCACCCACCTGTTCCGTTTGGCAAATGACTTTGCCGCATTGGTTCCTCGTATCTTTTGACCTCATGGCATTAGGGAAGAGGCCGGCTTTCCCATCTTATCTGAGATTATCCTCTAGCCACAGAAATGTCGGACTATTCTAAACGTGAAAACGTCTGTAGAGGCATATGATGTGCAGTGCGGCACTGCAAAACTGCTCATATAAATCAATGTCGTGATTTTAACATTTTTAGCAATTACTATCCCTTCAGTGCCCCCTCAGGTGTATGACACTGTCCATTGGCGGCGATAAGATCGTACTAAGATTTTTGACGTTGGTAAAGGACTGGTGTACCTGTCAGAATGTCATAATCACTATGCGCAACCTTTTTCATTGATTAAACTGAGGTTTAAAACATTAAAAACAGACGTGGGCATTACAGTGAATCTGAGATCTGAGTTATGCGAGGCAGCGAAGGTGATGCAGTAGCACTGGATGGCATAAAGCCCGTAAAGCACTACTAGCACGAACATGTGAAATCTGTTGTCGGACAGCTCTATATGATAAGGACTGACACGCTCAGATGCACCAAAACACGCCATCAGGAGAATGTGATCTTTCTGTTAATGCATTCTGCTGTTGGCATGGCTTTTTCTGGATTGCTTTCGACATTTAAGCCAATTTGCAGGTCGCTAAAAATGGTCTCAGGAATTAGCTATATCCAAGTGAATGATTTGGTCATTAAATCTATAGAATCAGCAGTGGCACGCAGTTGAGGATGGAAAAGGATATGGTTAACGCTACTACACATTCCTTGCATAGCTGTCTTTCTCGGCACTTGTTCAAAAACGCTGAACACGTTCTCTGTGAGTAACCATTTCAGACAGCACAGAACTGTTCCAGGGGGAACAATTATTTCATTGTCTGCTTACATCTGTAACTGGAATAGAAGCCGTTAAGCAACGATTTAACTTTGCTCAATGGTTAGTAATTATTGCCTTTGCCGTTGAGCTGTTAAGCGAGTTAAGTCGGACGATAAAAGGAGAGAAAGAGTCACGACTATGAAGACTTCATACTTCTACAAGGCATGCGAGAATTGCAACCGCGCTTATTAGATGGCACAGACTCAAGCTCGTCTACTGCCGTAACTTTGAACCAGGCCGAAATGATCAGGATGCATCCGGATCACCAAGGATGTAGTGAATGCACGCTGCAAGCGAAAGCAAGCCACCGGCATTACTACGACTCTGCTAATATAATAC